TTTTTTTTGCTAAAATTTAACCACTTTTAGCCTTCTTTTATCCACAAATACGTAGATTTGTTTTCAAAATGACTCTCTATACACAAGAAATGACAAAATGATATTGAACTTACTATATTTAAGTCTACATGGAAATACAACAATGAAGCTTATAAATGCGCAAATTATGAAACATTGTTAGCTGCTCTGCATTTGTTTACATGCCAAATATTGTGAATTGTTTACTATTTACTATTTCCAATTAATTTTCGGGCCACCCTCTTACACGCATATCAACCGAGAGCATCAATTGAGTGCTCTTAATTTTCTTGTAGGCTCGTCCCATCAGTCGACGTGACGCACTCGACTTTTAATTAAATATTTATTTTTATGTGGAGACATTAGCAGGTCGAGCAGGGCTGCCGCAGGGCAGGTGCTGGCATCGAGGGCAGGGGGAGAGGAACCCCCGGGCGATGACTATTGTAATTACTTGCCAGGACGGAAGTGCTCAGCTCGTGGGCGAGAGCGAGAGGGAGAGACTGCTGCCCGCCTGTTTAGTCGCTGTGATTAATAATGCTTAATTACATGTATTTGCGCCGTGGACCAAGAAGCGGGCAAGCGGAATTCACAGAGGGGCTTTACTGTACGGGCTGCCCCGAGTGCCGAGTGCCCGATGCCTGGAGCTGTGCGCTGTACGTTTGATTGATTACAACATTTTGTCGCACTAATGCCGAACGCAACAAGAGTCTTCCACTAAGCCTCTTGATAAGTTTTGCGTATACTTAAGTTAACACTAAAGATTAGTAGCGCTTAACGATTGACGGGGCAAGGGGTGACAGGGCAGGTGGGGGCAGGGGCGGGGCGAGTGCGCTGAGTGCTGAGATTGGCACTCAGCGTGCCTTTTTCAAGCCGCCTTCCCCTACTTGAGGGCTAATCAACAATTAATGAGCAATTAATATGCAATTTAGGGGCGTTGCTTTGTTGCCCAGTGTGTGTGTGTGTGTGAGTGTAATCAAGCGTGCCTTCAATGCATAAACGAGTACACGCACACAACGGTGTGCTGCCCTACGTGCGCTTGTCACGCATTACGTATACGCCGCGGAAGCGTTCAATAGAGGAAAAAAAACCTGTTAGCGAATTAAGCATCGATCATTCGATCAGCGCTATACATTGAATAACACTTTTAATTACTATTTATCCAAGCGCATCGCCACAAATGCAATGAAAACAAATGCCTGTAATTGAATTACGACAATTCGAGACTGAAAATTCTATGAATTAATATAAACATATAAATTGTAAAAATTAAGTTGTATCAATTTAAACTGTTTATTGGTTTATTTTGCATTTGCATAAATACAATTTAGGTATAAATATATAAAA